AAAGTCGGGATGGAGGTGGTGGGGGGGAAGGGGATCGTGATCGCGATTAAACGCGATCCAGGCAGAGTTGGGTGTGGGGTGAGGTCGAAATGTGTTGGGATTGGGTCGAGGGTGGGGTTGAAGGAGAATCGGGGATGGGATCGGGATTGGGAAAGGGAGTGGGATGGGTAGGGGGAGTCAGGATGGTGGCACTCGTAGTGGGAGAAGGTCGGGTGTCGGGATCGCGGAGTAGCGGAGTAGCGGGGGAGAGTCGGGATCGGGGGTGTAAGGAGGGGGAGTCGAGGAATCGGGGGTGAGGGATTGGAGTTGGGGGGGAGGGAGGGGGAAGGTGCACGTATACGTGCACACGATTGGAAGGGGGGGAACGGGGTGGGCAGCAATGGGGGAGATCGGGAGATGGCAGCGGAACCGGGGGGGAAAAGAGGGGGGAAAGAGGGGAGCCAGAGGGGGAAGGAGGCACTGACGTGGCAGGAAGTCGGCCGTCCACGTGTCGATGGTCCTTCCGCAGGTTCACCTGTGGAAACCTTGTTACGGCTTCTCCTTCCTCCAACTGATAAGGTTCGATGAGCCTCTCACAGCCCGGCTGCTACCCGCTGAAGTGGCCGCTTTGCCAACACTTCACCGACCATTCAATCTGTAGGAGCGACGGGCGAGCCAGTAGGTCGGTGTGGGCGGCCGGTACGATGATCGCATCATCTGGAGTAGCGCCATCGTGGGGGTTGCCGAGGAGAAAGGCGCCAACTTGGATGAAGAATGTACCTGGTCGCGTTGACGGACCAGGTGCAACTGCAAAAATGAGCTTGGAGATAGCTATCCCTGATGGCGGGATAGCGAGAGAGGGAGGGAGGGAGGGAGCAGAGGTTCGAAACCCGCTCCGATACCAATGTGGCACGCATGCGGAGGGCACGTGCGGAGATGGTGAGAGAGATAGAGATAGAGAGAGAGGAGATGGACACACATGAGAAGCAGCAGCTGAATGAAGGTCCAGTCCGACTCAATGAAAGAACGAACAACTGAATGAGTTGACCAACCCGGCCTGGGCCTAGGCCGGAAAGATATACCGGCCTTGGTCTAGGCCGGAGTAACCCGGTACCGGACCGGGGTCAGGCGGACGGCCTGAAACAGGTCCGGCCCCACTGCCGGGCCGAAAGGGTGCCACTACACTGATTCTTGATGTCTGATCTGCCCTTGCCCTCGCCTAGCCTTGCCCCATCTGTCCTCTCCACTACCTTGTCTCTCTTGTCCAATGCTTGTGAACCTACGTGACACCGACGATAAAGGATCTAATGGCAAGCGCACGAGGACGATGGCCTGCTGCCTCACTGTTCATGGAGATTATGCAGCTGGTTTGGCCACCATGCTGTTTCATCAGTCGGCATCCCGACTCGCGAACTTACTGGAGCAGCAACTTGTGACATTGATCTTTGCATCAGTCTGCAACTTCCTTGCTTCCAGATCAGACCTCCTTGCAGTTCGTGTATCGGACGCACCCTAACACTTGGACTCTGACACTTGAACTACTACTACGCTTCTTGGACTTCAACCTATCGCAGCAGCTGAAGACCGCTTCTACCACCTACTCCAGAGACCTGATGAAGACCACTGCAGACCCCCCCTTTCAAGACACTTGGACACTTTGTTCCTACATGAGATTCTGCTTCCGACTCCTTTAGACACATCAGCCCTTGCATCATTACCAAACATTTTCGTTTTTATTTCTCCTAACTTTGACAACCCTGTAGAACATCATTAGCAGATCCCTGTTTCCCTAACCATTGTTCCCCGTACCCATTATAACATCAATAGACATCCCTTGTTCCCCTGACCATTGTTTCCCTTACCCACTACAACATCAATAGAAATACCCTGTTTTCCTAAACAACATTTCCCTTACCTAATAGAACATCAATAGAAGTTCCCTATTCCCTTAACTTGGTTCCCCCTTAACCTATAGCAAACCATGCAGTCCCCTTAGTTCATCAGTAGGACTACCCTGCTCCCTGTCGTCCCTTTAGTTCATTTGTACGACTACCCTGTTCCCTGCAACCCCCCCTAGTTCATCAGTAGGAAAACTCTGTTCACCGGTACCAAACCCTGTTCCCTCTTACTCCCACAGCCCATGCCACCCACATTATACCCCTCTTCCCTTTCCACTTGTTAACCAGTGATCGGCCCYGTCCCGTCCTTCACAGATTTCAGCATTGCTTCATGATTTTTGGCAGYCGGGACGTTGCCTTCTAGAGGAAGGGGATAGTGTTACGGACTYCGCCAGGGCTCGATCCCTGGTCTATCTTTTTGTTGTTTCGGCTGCATCCCGTTTTCGGCCTGGCACCCTTTTTCCAAACCCCTCCTTTGGTACCGTAGGATTTTGGACAACTGGTGCCATGCTGCAATTCGGGCGCCACTTTCAAATACCGCATTTTTCAGCTCTGCCCTCGGGGCCTTTGCAGAAATGCCCCTGGTATCGTACGTGTCATCGGTACTTATACCGGCTCCCCGTACGGTACGGGAACCAGTCCGGCACCAATTTTCAACTGTTGTGCTCATACTCAGTGTGACTTGCTCCTGTTTCGGCATTCGAAATCCAAGACTTCGACTTTGTGTCTTTGCCACTGTGTCTGCGTCTGACCCTTGGTCGTGTCGAGTGAGTGAGTGTGTGTGTGTGCTCTCACTCTCTCCCTCTCTCTTCTCCCCCTCGGCTCTCCCTGCTTTCCCTCAGCCTCGCACTCATCACAATGCTCGTCTTGAGTGCTTGGAATGACCGGCGCATGTCGTCATCGAATACGAATGACACCTTTGGCAATTGTAATCTCGTCAATGGTTGGCAATCCTTGAGTACCCGGTGATGAAGCGTTGATAGTAGGCCGCCAACCCCATGAATGAGCGAACTTCCGTGGTGTTGGTGGGCTCGGGCCATACTCGGCTGGCCTCGATCTTGTCCGCGAGCGAACAGATGCCTTGCGGCGTCACAAAATGGCCCAAGTACTCGAGCTCTTGCCGAGCGAACTCGCATTTGTCGCGGTTGGCGTTGTACTTGGCTTGTCATAGCTGTTCCAAAACGGTGCATAGGTGCTCCACATGCTCGTCCAAACTCCGGCTGTAGACCAAGATATCGTCGGGGCAGATGAGTACAATTCTATCCAGCATGTGTCAGAACTCCGTTGTCATAGCCGCTTGGAACGTGGCCGGGGCATTAGTAAGGCCAAATGGCATGACCAGCCATTCGAAATGCCCATATAGCGTCTTGAACGCGGTCTTGTAGCGGTCTTCCTACCGGATCTCAAGTTGGTGAGATCCCGATTTGAGGTCACGCTTGGAGAAGAACTTAGCGTCGCCCAGCCGTTCCAGAAGGTTGCGATGCGCAGGAGAGGGCCCGCGTTCTTGACGGTTTGCGCGTTGAGCTTGCGATAATCGATGCACAACCGCAAGTCCTTGTTCTTCTTCCGGACTAAGAGAACGGGAGCGCCGTATGGCGAAGAGCTAGGTCGAATCCAACCTTTCTCAAGAAGGTTGTCGAGTTGTGCCCGTAGCACACTTAACTATTCCTCACTCACGTGGTAGATGCAACCACGTGGAGGTACGGCCCCGGCCTCGAGGATGATCTCGTGGCGGATGGGCCGATCCGGAACTATGTGCGGGGCTTCGAACACGTCAGTGTAGGCGCGAGAAGCTCGGTGATGCGTGGGTCCGTTGATGCGTTCGTCGATGGGATGTCATGGGGAGGGAGGGCAGGGAGAAAACACACCCATATCTCCTCGATGTCATCCGTGGTGATGGAAGCTCGAATGCTTGCGGCGAACACCACGTGGCAGCTGATCGAAGGGTGAGGTGGAGGCACCGTGGATGGGACTACTACTCCGTTTCGATCGCGAACGTGAACGGTGCGGTAGTAGAAGTTCACCGGGTGATCCTCTCTTCGCAGCCATGACATGCCCAAAATCATGTCGAACTGGGTGTCCAAAATGCTGAAGGACACGACCGCTATTGCATGTGGGGCGAAGTACACGGGGATGGAATCAATGCACCGGTCGATGGACTTGTTCATGTGACCGTCGGCCAACATGACTTGCGTGGGCCTCAACGTGGCCCAAGGCCAGCGCGTACCATAAAGTCTTGGGTGATATAGTTGCAAGTAGCTCCGCAATCGATCAAAGCGTTGCAGGTAGCCTCTCCAATATGAATGCGTATGTACAAACAATGGCGCGTCGATGTCGTCGTACCGTTGTGTCTTGAACTCTCGGTCGATCTTCGCAACGTAGTCGTGAAGGTCGGCAACCTCTACTCCATCAACGGAGCTGGTACTGCAGTGTGCAAGTAATCCCGCAATTGTGGCATGAGCGCGTTGCAATGCCGTTTCAGCAATCCACCGGTCGAGGGAAGGGGCATCCACTGAAGGTCCACGAATGTCAACGGGTCGAGTTCTTCAAGTCTTGACCATGACGTCGAATCCCCGACGATAGTTGGCGGCAAAGCTGCCGAATCAGTTGCCGATGGTGGTGAAACCGTGCATGTAGTGGATTGTTGCACGTGAAGTGGCTGGTCCAATGGTGGGACCAACTGGACAACGTACTCCTCGTAAGTGAAGCGAGAACTCGCGACATCCACATTCTCCCCAAATGTGTAGGAGGCCACTAGCAAGGCGGCCGAATCTCACGGAGTGAGAGGTGTAGTCCCCTCACCTCCCGCGCAACTCAGTTTCCCGAGCTGATTCAAGGTCGAACATCCTCCTTGCCTTGATCGTGGAATTGGGAAGGCTTGTGCTTGGTGTTGTTGCACCAATAGCAGCAGCCATACCGGCTGCGCCACTTGTATTCGGCCTCAGTCAAGTTGAACTTGACCCATGGTACTGGCAGTCCGTTTCCGGCCAACGATGCAGTTCTCGCCCTCCCTTTTCCACGGGAGTTGTTGCTTCGCAGTTGGACAACGGCCACTTGATCTCCTTCACGTGATGCTGGGGTGGCTGCCGGCTCTTCCACAATGTTGTCCGGTTGGACTGCAACGACTTGTTGCAGCCGCGGACCAAATTTTCCTTTCTCCACATGGGCTGGCTGCCACGCTGTCTACTCGTGTGCAACAACCCTGTTGCTCTTGATAATCTCACGACCCTTGTCGATTATTTCGGCGAACGTCGTGTACTATTCGCGATCACCCAGTGCGAGGCTCAAGGCAGCACACGACCGGTTGTAGAACTCTCAGCGCAGATGCGGAAATGACAAGTCAAGATCGGGTGTTGCCGTGATCTTTTGCCATTCCGTGAGCCAATCGCGCGTCAATGTGTTGCCTTGAGTCATGGCGAAGAGCCGATTGATGGTGAGTGTCGGGGCGTGGTCAACAATGAACCGCTTCTTCCATTCTCTCGTTAGATCTTCTTAGGAGATCTTCTTGTGTAAGGCGTTGACCTGGACGCCATGGATGGTTGCCATGTGGCTGAGCCAGATCTGGCATCTGCCCTTGACGTTGAGGAATAGCGCCGCGATGTACACATGTTCAAAGACCTCGTGAATCCCAAGCTCCGTTGTAAAGCCTTGCCACCACACAACCGGGTCCTGATGCATATAGTCGTCAAACTTCTCGATCCGGAACGTCGGTATCATGTAGTGCTTTGAAGCACTGGTGCTGCGATCGTTGTCGAGCAGCTGGTGTAGCTGCCTGAGTCCGATCTGCAAGGCGCCGAGCTACTTGCTAATGGTGGCTGGTGCGGCGAAGGTGCTGATGTCGCCGAGCATCGCGAGTACATGGTCAACTCGTTGCTCCAACTGGCGGGTTGAGGCTGCATCACTGGGTTCCCCAACGTCTGGTCTTGGTGCTGCTTGCTCCAAGTCCTGTACACGGGAAGCAAGTGCCCATGTAGTGCCCTCGTGCAGATCCTTGTTTCGCACTGCCCGTCAAAGGTTCTCCAGGTCCTGGTGCTGTTTCGCCATTTCCTGGTATTGTTTCTCTGACTCGGACTGCAAGTGGTTACAACTGTAAACCAACCGGGTCACGAGTTTGGAGACGAACTCCTTGTGTTGCTCTTCCGGTGTTGGGTCGTCATGGTCCTCAGATGGTTCAAAATGCCAAAATTGAGCTTTTCGACACTGGCAGCTGCGTGCCGCTGTAGCAAATCCTGGGCCTCCTTGTGGCGGGCCTGGGCATCTGCGTCAACTTCAACTTGAAGCCGCTGCTTTTCAGCTGCTGCCGCCGTTTCAGCCTGTAGGCGGGCAGCTTCGGCTGCCGCCTAGCGCTGTACCTCAACCTCGATCAGTGCGAGCTGATCTGGAAACCGCTGTCGGTACTCGTCAATGGACTCGTTGGCCAATTGGCCTAGCATGCCCAAAGCTGAAACCGTCATTGTGTCAGGGCACTGCTGACATGGCACTGCTACTGACCTGGGACCGCTGACGTGGCACTTACCAAACCAGGAATGCAAGGCAACGATTGGAAGGGAAAACGCAGGAAGGTAACCAACCAAACTGTACTTTCCTCCCCTGGTTCTAATCAACAGAAAAAATAAAATAAAAATAAAAGAAGAGGATCACCTCCCTTTTTCTTGTTTATAACTATGAGTGAGGCATTTTAAAGGAGTACTATGAGCGAGATCTAGGCAAGGTTTCGCAAAGTTTCCGCTTCTAAAAAAATGCGATCTTTGAAACAATTTTTTTGCGCGAAATAGACCGGAGGTTCCACTTTCAGAGAAGAATAGATCCAGTCCGAGAATATGACAACCGCCCTAGTTCACCTAATATGCCCAGGGTAAAATAGAAAATGAAATGCTAATATCCGAAGTGGCGAAAAAGAGAAAAAAGTTTTCGCAGAGATTTAACGCAGTCCTACTTGATTCAATAATAATCAATCAATCAATCAATCAATCAATCAATCAATCAATCAATCAATCAATCACACAAGCTGGCTTCTTGATTGGGCGGACCCTCTGATTGAGAGGTCCGCTCCGATACCAAACTATCATATATCGTAAAGGTGCAGACCAGAACAAGAACCGACCTCTCTCACATAGTACAAGATAGCGCAACGGAAGCCTAAAATACCAATGATCCGACCAGTCGATGTCGCAATGCAGCCAAACATACATCATCATCATTCATTGTCGGAAGGGGCCTGGCGCTCACACAGGAAGAATGCGCCAGTCCCCAACCATACACAAACGAAGAAGACGAGGGTTAGATGAAGAAAAGGGGGAACACGGGAATGTCGTCAACACCAAGTCTTCGGTGCAGGTCCCAAATAATCCCTCGTCCAATGTCTCAATCCCAAGTCGAGTCTGGATCCAAATGTCGTCAAGTCCCAAACTCACCAGTCTCTCTCTCTCGCGCGCGCAGATAATGAGAAGTTAGGTAGCGAGAGGGTGAGGGAGAGATGGTGGAGTTAAAAGAGGAAGAAGAAGAACTCTCTCCTCTCTCTCTCTCTCTCTCTCTCTCAGTTCGGTGCTAACTTGTGAAGGTGGCGCCTTGTTGCAGGTCCATCGAAGACGAAGCTGGAGCTATGGCGCCACAGGTAAGTCTCCCTGGCCTCCGCCAACCCTCTCACTCTCTCCAACGCTACTCTAGCTCCTGATAGCGCCCAACGCTGAAGGCTACTCCTAACGTTACTACTACTCTCTAAGTCTCGTACTTACCTGTGAAGGTGGCGCCTTGTTGCAAGTACATCGAAGACGAAGTTGTAGCTATGGCGCCGGGGTAAGTCTCCCTGGCCTCCGCCAACCCTCTCACTCTCTCCAACGCTACTCTAGCTCCTAATAGCGCCCAACACTGAAGGCTACTCCTAACGCTACTACTACTACTGCAACACTCCTCCGAAGTACAATCGCCAAATCCTGAAGACTGCCTCCTGCCTCCTGCACGTTAAGTGCACATGAACTGCCAAGGAAGTCCCTATGAGTTACCTGCAGCCTGCAAGGCGGGCCCATACGCGGATGGCGTCGATCTTGCCCGCAAGCGTTGATAGTACCTCGCCAATCCCACGAATGAGCGAACGTCCGTGGTGTTGGTGGGCTCGGGCCATACGCAGATGGCCTCGATCTTGTCCGCAAGCGGCCGAATGCCTTGCGGCGTCACATAATGGCCCAAGTACTCGAGCTCTTGCCCCCCGCAAATCCGCAATTGTCGCAGTTGGCTTTGTACTTGGCTTGACGTAGTCATTCCAAAACGGTGTGCAAGTGCTCTACATGCTCGTCCAAACTCCGGCTGTACACCAAGATGTCGTCGAGGTAGATGAGTACGAATCTATCCAGCATGTGTCGGAACTCCGTTGTCATAGCCGCTTTGAATGTGGCCGGGGCATTTGTAAGGCCAAAAGGCATAACCAGCCATTCAAAATGCCCATATCGCGTCTTAAACGCTGTCTTGTAGCGGTCCTCCTGCCGGATCTCGAGTTGGTGATATCCCGATTTGACGTCAAGCTTGGAGAAGAACTTGGCGCCGCCCAGCCGTTTGAGTAGGTCTTCGATGCGTGGAAGACGGCCAGCATTCTTGACGGTTTGCGCGTTGAGCTTGCACAACCGCAAGTCCTTGTTCTTCTTCCAGACGAAGAGAACGGGAGCGCTGTATGGCGAAGAGCTAGGCCGAATCCAACCTTTCTCAAGAAGGTCGTCGAGTTGTGCCCGTAGCACACTTAACTCTTCCTCGCTCATGCGGTAGATCCAACCACGCGGAGCTACAACCCCGGCCTCGAGGATGATCTCGGGGCGGATGGGCCGATCCGATACTACTCCGTGAGGGGCTTCGAACACGTCGCCCTACGCATCGAGAAGCTCGGTGATGTGTGGATCCATCGGTTCGTTCATCGAGGAGATGTCAAGGGGCAAGAGGGCGTGGAGAAAACATACACCCATCTCCTCGATGTCGTCTCAGGTAATGAAAGCTCGAATGCTCGCGGCGGACACCACATTACAGCTGATCGAAGGGTGAGGTGGAGGCACCGTGCATGGGACTAGTACTCCATTCCGGTCATGAACGTGAGCGGTGCGACGGTAAAAGTTGACTGGGTGGTCCTCGCTTCGCAGCCATGGCATGACCAAAATCATGTCGAATTAAGTGTCCAAAATGTCGAAGGACACGGCCTCGCTTGCACGCGGGGCGAAGTACACAGGGACAGAATCAATGCACCGGTCGATGGACTTGTTCGTGTGACCGTCGGCCAACGTGACTTGCGTGGGTCGCGACTTCCTCCGAACATGTGGCCCAAGGCCAGTGCGTACCATAAAGTCTTGGCTGATATAGTTGCGAGTGGCTCCACAATCGATCAAAGCGCTGCAGGTCGCTTCTCTGATCTGAATGCGTGTACAACAATGGTGCGTCGATGTCGTCGTACCGTTGTGTCTTGAACTCGCGGTCGATCTTCGCAACGTAGTCGTGAAGGTCAACAACCTCTACTCCGGAATCCATCAACGAAGCTGGTACTGCAGTGTGCAAGTAATCCCGCAATTGTGCCATGAGCACGTTGCAATGCGGTTTCGGCAATCGACCAGTCGGGGAAAGGGGCATCCATTGGAAGTCCGCAAACGTCAACAGGTCGAGCTCTTCAAGTCCTGACCATGACGCCAAATCCTCGACGAAATTTGGCGGCGAAGCTGCCGAATCGGTTGTCGATGGTGATGAAACCGTGCATGCGGTGGATTGTTGCACGTGGAGTGGTTGGTCCAACGGTGGGACCAAGTGGACATTGTAATCCTCTTAAGTGAACCGACGACTTGCGACATTCACATCCTCCACCAGTCGATTGACTTGTGCGTTTGACGGTCGGCCAACGTGACTTGCATGGGTTGCGACTTCCTCGTAACGCGTGGCCCAAGGCCAGCGCGTACCATAAAGTATTGGCTGATATACTTGCGAGTGGCTCTGCAATCAATCAAAGCGCTGCAGGTCGCTTCTCCGATCTGAATGCCTATGTACAACAATGGCGCGTCGATGTCGTTGTACCATTGTGTCTTGAACTCGCAGTCGATCTTCGCAACGTAGTTGTGAAGGTCGATAACCTCTACTCCGGCATCCATCAATGAAGTTGGTATTGCAGTGTGCAAGTAATCCCGCAATTGTGCCATGAGCACGTTGCAATGCGGTTTCGACAATCGACCGGTCGAGGGAAGGGGCATCCATTGGAAGTCCGCGAACGTCATCGGGTCGAGCTCTTCAAGTTTTGACCATGACGTCGAATCCCCAACGAAATTTGGCGGCGAAGCTGCCGAATCGGTTGCCGATGGTGATGAAACCGTGCATGCGGTGGATTGTTGCACTTGGAGTGGTTGGTCCATCGATGGGACCAAGTGGAGAACGTAATCCTCGTAAGTGAACCGAGGACTCGTGACATTCGCATCCTCCCTAGATGTGTAGGAGGCCACTAGCAAGGCGGCCGAATCTGGCGGAGTGAGAGGTGGAGCCGCCTCACCTCCCGCGCAACTCAATTTCCCGAGTTGATGCGAGGTCGAACATCCTCCTTGCCTTGATCCGAGCATTGGGAGGTCTTGTGCTTGGTGTTGTTGCACCAATAGCCGCAGCCATACCGGTTGCGCCACTTGTATTCGGCCTCGGTCAAGTGAAACTTGACCCACGGTACTGGCTGTCCATTTCCTGCCAGCGATGATATTTTCGCCTTCCCTTTGTTACGGGAGTTGTTGTTGCTTCGCGGCTGGACGACGACCACCTGATCTCCCTCACGTGATGCTGGGGTGGTTGTTGGGTCTTCCACAATGTTGTCCGGTTGGACTGCAGCGACATGCTGCGGACGCGGACCAAATTTTCCTTTCTCCACATGGGCTGGCTGCCATGCCGACTTCTCGTGTGCAACAGGCCTGTTGGTCTTCTTGATCTCACGACCCTTGTCAATGATTTTGGCGAAGGTCGTGTACTCTTCCCGATCATCGAGTGCGAGGCTCAAGGCGGCACACGACCGGTCGTAGAACTATCGGCGTAGATGCGAAAATGACAAGTCGAGATTGGGTGTTGCCACAATCTTTTGCCATTCCGTGAGCCAATCGCGTGTCGATGTGTTGCCTTGGGTCATGGCGAAGAGGCGGTTGATGGTGAGCGTCGGGGCGTCGTCAACGATCAACCGCTTCTTCCATTCTCTCGTCAGATCTTTCCGGAGATCTTCTTGTATAGATGGTTGACCTGCACGCCGTAGATGGTTGCCAGGTGGCTGAGCCAGATCTGGCATCCGCCCTTGTCGTTGAGGAACAACGCCGAGATGAACAAGTGTTCGGGGACCTCGTGGATCCCAAGCTCCGTTGTAAAACCGTCCCACCAGATGATTGGGTCCTGATGCGTATAGTCGTCAAACTTCTCGATTTGGAACGTCGGCACCTTGTAGTGCTTTGATGCACTAGTGCTGCAATCGTTGTCGGGCGGTTGGTGCAGCTGCCCGAGTTCGGTCTGCAAGGTGCCAAGCTGCTCGCTGATGGTGGCTGGTGCGGCGAAGGTGCTGATGTCGCCGAGCATTGTGACTACATGGTCAACTCGTTCCTCCAATTGGCCGGTTGAGGCTGTAGTGCTGTGTTCGCCAACATCTGGTCCTGGTGCTGCCTGCTCCAAGTCTTGCACATGGGAATTGAGTGCCCGTGTAGCATCCTCGTGCAAATCCTTGTGGTTATGCACTGTCCGTAGGAGATTCGCCAACTCGGACTGCAGGTGGTTACAAGTGTAAACCAACCGGGTCACTCCTTGTGCTCCTCCTCCGGTGTGTTGCGTCGCCGTGGCCCTCGGATGGTTCAAAATGCCAGAACTTGAGTCGACGCTGGTGGCTTTGTGCTGCTGCAGCAGATTTTGGGCCTCCCTGCGGCGGGCCTGGGCATCTGTGTCAGCTGCGGCCTGAAGTCGCTGTTTTTCAGCTGCTGCATTTGCTTCAGCCTGACGCTGTTCCTTAGCCTCGATTAGTGTGAGTTGAGCTAGAAACCGTTGTCGATACTCAACAATGGACTCGATGGCCAATTGGCCTGGCATGCCCAATGATGAACCCATCATGGCGGCGGGGCATTGCTGACGTGGCACTGCCGCTGACTTGGCACTGTTGCTGACATGGCACTATTGCTAACGTGGGACTGTTGCTGACGTGGCACTGCTGACATGACACTGTTGACGTGGCACTTACCAAACTGGGAATGCAGGCAAAGGGTTGGGTGGGAGGGAAAACACAGGAAGGTAACCAACCAAAGTGTACTTTCTGCCCAGTCCCAATCAACAGAATAAAATAAAATAAAAAATAGAAGAAGAGGATCAAAAGAAGAAGAGGATCACCCCCCCCCCTTTTTTTTTTTGTATATCTGTCGATCTGCTATGAGTGAGGCATTTCAGAGGAGTACTATGAGCGAGATCTAGGCAAGGTTCCGCAAAGTTTTGGGTTTCAAAAAAATGCGATCTTGAAAAAAAACATTTGCGCAAAATAGACTGGAGGTTCCACATTCCGAGAAGAATAGATCCAGTCCGAGAATATGACCGCCTCCCTAGTTCACCTAGATGCCCAGAGTAAAAACAGAAAACGAAATGCTAATATCAGAAGTTGCGAAAAGAGAAAAAAAAATTACAGAGATTTGACGAAGTCCTACTTGATTTACTAATGAACAATCAATCAATCAATCAATCAATCAACAATAAGTAGATCAAGCAAGGTGGATACTTGATTGGGCGGAGCCTCTGATTGAGAGGTCCGCTCCGATACCAAATTGTCGCATACTGTAACGGTACAGACCAGAACAAGAACCGACCTTCTCTCACATAGTACAAGATAGCGCTGCGGAAGGCTAATATACCAATGATCAGACCAATCAATGTTGCAATGCAGACCAAACATACATCATCATCATTCCTTCCATGGTGTGAAAGGGGCTGGCGCTCACACAGGAAGAGTGCGCCAGTCCCCAGCCATACACAAACGAAGAAGAGGGGGGTTAGACGAAGAAGAGGGGAAGATGGGAATGTCGTCAACACCAAGTCTTCGGTACAGGTCCCAAATAATCCCTCGTCCAATGTCTCAATCCCAATGTCGAGTCTGGATCCAAATGTCGTCAAGTCCCAAACTCACCAGTCTCTCTCTCTCTTGCGCGCAGATAATGAGAAGTTAGGTAGCGAGAGGGTGAGGGAGAGATGGTGGAGTTAAAAGAGGAAGAAGAAGAACTCTCTCTCTCTCTCTCTCTCTCAGTCCGGTACTAACCTGTGCAGGTGGCGCCTTGTTGCAGGTACATCGAAGACGAAGCTGGAGCTATGGCGCCACAGGTAAGTCTCCCTGGTCCCTGGCCTCCGCCAACCATCCCTCTCTCTCTCCAACGCTACTCTAGCTCCTAATAGCGCCCAGCGCTGAAAACTACTGCTAACGCTACTAATACTACTGCAACGCTCCTCCAGAGTGCTGGTGCCGAATCCTGAAGACTGCCTCCTGTCTCCTACACGTGAAGTGCCTGGGAAGTCCCTATGAACTACCTCGTCCACTGCCTAAACGTGCCAGACCCTGGCATTGAAGTTCAAACAAAGGTTGTCTTGAAAACAGGCCCAAAATTCGCCTGTGCTAAAACCCTGGTCTGGTGCCTACGTTTCAGGGCAGGTCGATCTGACGAGGGCCTGAAAATGGCCCTCCGTTTCAGGCTGAAAAGACTCAGGGACTGGAGGGCCCCTTTTAGGTTGAAACGAGACAGGTGAAACGGTATTCACCAGTTCGCAGTAGCGGATGCAGATCCCAGGGCTCGATCCCTAGTTCCCCACCTTACCTGTGTACAGTACCTGTGTCAACCCGTAGATTTGAACCTGCGACCTGTAGGACCGCCAGTGGTAGGTAGGATCTCATAGGTTACAGGGTATAGGGGATTCGAACTGTAGACCTGTCGGATAGGAGTCTAGACAGTCTAGAGGTCGTAGTTGTAGACTGTCCGAAGGGTCAAAGTCGTAGCTGCTACTTACCTGAAAGGGCAGAGTGGTAGCTGCTACAGTACCGAAAGGCCAGGTAGAGGTTTCTAGAAGTGGCCTTTCGGAAGTCAGCCCACTGTAGGTCTAGGCAAGTGGGCAAGTGGTGGAAGTCCACCACGCAGAGTCAGCAGTCCCAGTCCAGCCAGTCCGGTCCAGTCAAGCAAGTACCGTCTGGGACTGTGTACACCGTGGGCCAGGGAAGCAGGGCAGACCAACGAGGCACAAAAGTATAAATCAAGAAGCTGCGCACAGCCATTCATTGATTCCTGCGGAAGCCATGCGGAAGCGCTGCCTCAGCGTCTTGTGCGAGGAGGTCTGCAGTGTGCTCGAAGTCGAAGTGGGCCAGGAGCGTAGCATAGCGATAGGGTAGTGGCAGCTAGCGCTGCCATAGCTTTAGTAGAGTGTGCGTGTGTTGTGTGAGAGTGCAGAGTGTCGTGTGTGGGATATCCAGGGTGGTCCAGGGTGTGTGAACAGTGGGATGTTGGGCGCTCAGTCGCCATAGCCAGTGGAAGTGAACTTACCTGGAAGCCATATCTCTGAGTACTGTGTGGGCACATCTCGCCAGTTTGTTGTGCTGCTGTTCACGTGCATGAAAAGTGTGAATAAGGCGAGTCTGATTGCACAGGGCCTGTAGGCCCTTGTTTTCAGGCTTTCAGGCTGAAACCACACAGAGCATGTAGGGCCCTTATTTTCCGTCTGGTCGGGCCTGCAGGCCCGTGTAGCTGCACAGTATGCCACAGCCTGAGAATGGCCCTCATTTTCAGGCTTTTAGGCTGAAACGACACAGGGCCTGTAGGACGTTTTTCCGTCAAGTCGGGCCCTGCAGGCCCGTGTGGCTGCGCAGTATGTGTTACATACTTCAATGAGTATGGGCAGAACCAAAGATCAACCAATATAGGATGAGCATTTATGCAGCGGAAGTCTGATAACGAACTGACTCACATAGACTGACCTACATGGCATCACTCCACACACGTACAATCATGAGATGGTGGGGTCTGGGTCATGCATAGACGATACCCAGATCCCGTACACACATACACAGATGAAAGGTGGGAGGAGAGACAAAGGAGGTAGGAGGTAGATCACACCGATAGG